AATTCTATAAAGGGGCTGAACAGTATTGTGTTCGCTTCTGAATCCAGACTGGTGACTTGGAAGGATATTATTGGATTCAACAAAATGAGTTAATTTATCTTGGATAACCTTCTCTAGTATTTTGCTGACTGCCGACAAAAGACTAATAGGTCTGTATGACGAGAGCAACTCGACAGGCTTATTTTGTTTTGGAATAGGAACAACTTTAGCACATTTCCAGACAGAAGGGAAATAGCATAACTCTAGGCATTTATTGACTATGTAAGTAATAAACTTTATTCCCTTCGTAGGTAGGGTTTTTAAGCATATATTGTCAATTTTGTCAATACCTGGAGATTTCTTCTTCTTCAGCTTTTTCAGTATACCTTTTATGACGCTGGAGCTAACAAAGTAATCATTCAGCGGCTCTATAGATAATTGCGCGACTGAGAGGATTGAGGCATCGACAGCGGCTTTAGTTAGCGGATCACCGAGCCCAGCAGCTACGATATGATTTAGTCGAAAGGATTGAGCTAACGCCTCAGCCTTTTCTTCTTCTGTCGTGTGACTGATGTTATTATTGACTAATGTTGGGATATTTAAGTGTTTCTTTCTAACAATTTTGGAGAGTTTCCAAAAGGGGGAAGAACCTTTATCTAAGGCTGCAAGAGTGATATTCCAGGATTTATTTCTAAATTCTAGTATCGCTTTGGTGATTAGTTTATTTAACCATTTTAAAAGGATGAGATCGGACTGGTGACGATATCTCAGCCAGGTGCGCCGTCGTATGTTCCTACTCTTTATAAGGTTGAGAATGTTTTGCGGCAGTGGTTTTGGAGAAAATTTGATTTGTTTTTTTGGGATGCTAATATCTTTGGCTTCGCGAAGGACATCACTAAAAACATTAATCATATCATCAACATCTTCTGTGCGGCACATTAAGTTGGAGTTTAGGGGTGGAAGCGAATTTTTGACAAAACGGGCGAATCTTACCCAGTTTGCTCTTTTCACATCGAAGTAAAAGTAGTTTGCGGTAATGGCAGAATTGACAGATACCTCAAGCAGCACTGGAAGGTGATCAGAGTTTAATGTGTGTAGCACACGTGGGCTAGCTAGATAACCAGGACGATTAGTAAGGAAAAAATCTAAAGTTGAGGGTTGCCCGTGACTTCCTGCAGGGTAATATGTATGTTCAGAGGGATGCATTAGATAAAAGTTCCTGCAGTCTACCTTAGATTTGAGTAGATTACCCCACGAGTTCGCTCTAGAGCATCCCCACGACTGATGTCTGCAATTAAAATCCCCTCCCAGAATAAATGTTCCATTTGCACTACACAACTTATGTAAATCGGCCTGAAAAAGCTGTTTTTTCGAGGAATTTTCGTGGCCCCCCTGGGAAATAGCATGAGTAAATGGACGTCTCAGTGCCATCACTAATGAAGATTTTTACGCCAATTGTTTCAATAATTTTAGTATTTGGGAGAGGTAGCAAAGAGTGGCGGATATTTTTTTAATAAAGATTGCTACCCCTCCTCCTCTACTAGTCGTACGGTCGTTTCTGTAACAGCTATAATTACGAATCTTGAGGAAAATACTATTTTTTAACCAGGTTTCAGATACAAGGCAGATGTCAATGTCGTTGTTGAACAGGAAGTGACAAAATTCTTCTTTTTTTGTTTTGAATGCCCCTGGCATTCCACGCAATGATCTTTACTTTGTCTAACATTAAGAAAGAAATTTGAAGGCAAGTGAGGTTATTACCTCAAACTGATCAGTCTTGGATTTACAATTTCTGAGATTACTAATGAGCTCAAAAGTAAGACTTTTTAGCTCGTCTAGCGAAAAGAGATCACTGCTTAACTCTGGTTGCCTGGCCCAGGTTGTCTTTAATGGTTCAGATATCTGTCCATTAAGAGTTGGGAAGGTTTTTTACGCAGTTTAACTGTGGAGACTGTAATGGTGTTCTGACTACCCGTGCTTTGGTGACGCCCCTATCCCTTGACTTTATATAATTTATTCTGCCTGGGCACTCCACTGAATTAGACTTATGAGAGCCGTGACAATTTGCACACTTAACAGGTAACTTTTCTGAACACTCAATAGTTTTATGGTTTCCTGCGCAATTCATACAGTATGGTTTTACACTACAATAGGAAGATCCGTGCCCAAACATCTGGCAGTTATAGCACTGAGTCACGGTGTTTGGTCTGCGTCTTTGGTAGTCCCATTTGACTCTGATATGGTCAATGACAGAGTAGTTTTTCTTCAGCTCGTTTAGACTTGTTGATTTGTTGACAAAGTAAACTACATACAGCGAGAAATTACTATTGTTGGCTCGTTTCCTTTGAATAAACTTGACATCTGTACATTGAAGTCCCATTTGTGTAAGCTTGTTCCTAACCACATCAGCCGGAGTGTCATCAAGTCCCGTAAGCACCGCTTTGTATGGTTTATTGTGTTTTTTTGCAAAGGAGAAAAACTCATTTTTAGAGTTTTGCAGGTGGGTGCAGACATTGGCAAAATCCACCTCTTCTTCGCAGTGTAATTTAACTCCAATAGAAATTTTTCTAATTGAGTAGTCTTTGACATTTAGTAATTTGCAAATACCATGCAGTTGTTCAGCAGTAGTTTTAAGTACCGTAATAGGAGGAATGTGAGTTTTGGTTTTGTTGACAATTACTTCCTCACAGTTGTCGTTATCAGTTTCGTCATCCAGCGCTTGTAACGGTTGATAATAGTTGTTGTTGCTCTGCCGTTGACCAGTGTCCGTTTTTGGAACTTTTCTGCTCTGTGTTGGCGACATAGCGGCGCCAGCCAGACTAACTGTTCTCTTAATTTTGTTTTTGTTTTAAGTCGAAAGTGAAAGATAAGAATTTCGCTATCGCGGAGCGCTCACACGTGCGTACAGTTTGGCAGATCACACCGAACTGATTTTACTTTGAATACTGCAAAAATGTGAACCGAATTTCTTTTGCTACTCTCATCGTTTATCTATTTACATGCCATGTAATACATATATTGAAGAAGTGCCCTTCTATGCGATTCTCAATTTTCATTTTCTCTCTCACTGCCCCTTTCCCGCCTTTATATTTTCTGTTTGCCATTTTTTTGATAATAACCTACTTTTGCATTTGTTTCTTTCAGTGTACAACGTGATATCCGCCTGCTGGTACTAACATCAATTTGTGGGTAAGTCCATAAAAAATAAACATGTTTAACAAGCAACAGCAATTTATAATTTATGATTTAAGAATTGACTAAATATACGAATTAAACTGCATCAAAAATGAAATGTGAAGCTTGGTTAAACCGAGTTGGTTCGCTTACAATGAAAGTTTTATGCATATATGCATATTATTATTTTCATTATGTTATATGACTGAATATTAATTAAATATTCCGAAATTATTCAGTCTGCATAATCAAAGGAGCTCCAAATGATTCTGATAACCATTCTCGGCCAGCTGGTTAGTATCCATAATCAGGGACACTTGATTGCATCTGGTAATTATAACTGCATTTGCATCGTATCATTGCCAATTATATAATCCAAACACACACACACACACACTTAGAGCTTTGGGATTTGGGGTCATTGTCATTTTCGGATTGTCGTTTGCGAATCGTCCAAGCAAGCGGCAAACGCCCAGAACAGCTTTGGGGGTTGGTCAGGATGATGTAGCTGTCTCTTCATGTGACTTGTGCATCCCCTGCTACAGCCTCCATCATTGTACAGTGAGGGAAAAAAGCACGTAAACACATATTTACTTAAAGCAGTGTGGATACACCATATTCGACTCTAATTTAGATCAATGTTGCATCAAACCGGAGTTTTACTCAAGTCTAGTTACTCGAGCTTTCTCTGAGTGTACAAACAGCTGAGATTTATGTGCAGCGGGCGCAGACAGAAGCTGACATCAAATTGAAATTCAGGCAAATGTCAACGGCAGCCGCCAGCCGCCAGGCTCAAGGCGAAGGCGAAGGCGAAGCCGACTCGAGTTGACTTGAGTTAAGCCAAAAATCCACATAAATAACGCGAGCAACGGGCGTCGCGACGGTCATCAGAGTAGAGCCCGCCCCCTTGCCGCTCCCGCTCTCGCTCATGCTTCGTCTGCGTGTCCCTGGCAGAAGTCGTTGGGCTTGTTTCTGCGAATGGCAGGTGCAACTCAATCAACGCCGCCAGTCGAGGCGCAACGTTTGCGTCGCGTTGCGTTGCGTTGCATCTGGTCGAGTCAGCGGGCAGCTAAAGCTCCAGCTCCAGCTTCAGCTTCAGCTCCAATGCCCAGTCTCAGCGCCAGCCTCTTGGGCCACCTGCCCCAAAATGTTGGCAGCGCAAGGCGCAGCCGTTCTCGCTCTCGAGTGGCTCAACTGAGGAAGCTGCCCGGTGGCTGTGGTCCATCTCAAGTGGGTATCAAAAGATCAACGATCGTCAGAGGGCAAACCAAGTGGCGATCGAGTGTTTTGCAAAAAATAAGGGGAGGCAATATTTTCACAGCTCTAATGCTAACAAATCGAGGCTCAAATCACGCAAAGACCAACAACAAAGTTGCTTCTTCACTGTCTTGTGGCTGTTGCAGTTGGAGAGAGCCTAACGGAAATGCTACATAGCAGTAGTGCTGTCTAGAGCTACTCAGAGTTAGGAAGTGCAAGGATCCGTTTAACTCAAGTCTGATCTATTTTTTGATATTGTTATATTATGTCTTCTATTTTCTAATTTGACATGTCGCTGGTTCGTAGAGTCCATATGAACTAGTTTGCCTGGAAGTTCCATTCCAGCATTATCTCATAGTTCAAAGAAACCAGATTAATAGTATTATATCATAGATAATATACAGGATGTAAAATGCTGTTAAATAAGCTTTCCCAGTCCGAAACGCAAAAATTGCTTTTAAATTTCGTTATTAATTTAGACATTTATTTTGTTTAAATTTTATTTTATTTTATTTTTTTTATTTCCATTTTTTCATTGCTATTTTTTTTTGTCTTGTTTTTTTCGACACAAACATGTGTACAGTTGTATATATACATAAATTTATATGTATATATGTAGATTTTGGGGGCTGTTACAGTTTGTAATGGGCGTGGTCACAACTATTTACTTTAGCTTAGCTTTTACATGGGGCGGGTTGGGGGTTAGATAGGGTTTTTGGACTCTTTTTTGGCTTACGCTTTGCTGAGTTTTACGCTAGATTAACTCTTGATTTGATTTGTGAATATATGTATATATGTGTATATATGTATATGGTATTTGTCGGTCAACATGTCAAGATGTAACTAACGTGAATTTGAATTTCAATTTCAATTTGATTTTTAGTAAGGAAAATGCTTGCATATTGTATTACATTTTATTTTGTTTAATATTTTCTTTGGCTTTTTTTTTCGTTTTGCATTAATAAATATTTGTGTTTAAATTTTGAAATTTTATTTTTAATTTTTTTTTAATTGTTGTTTGCTGTGGTTTTCTCTTCCTCTTTTTTCTTGTGACTAGTGTGCGACTTAATAATATTTACAATTCCAATTTGTTATAGGCTAATTAGGCATAGCTATATATCTAGAGTTTTATTTTGTTTTCTGTATATAAATAAATTAAATGTTCTATAAATATAAACAAAGAGTTTCTGATGCGAAATTCCTATTAATAAGTTAAGACAGCAGACAAATAAATAAATAAGTGAGCGAAATTATAAACATTTCTTTTATAGGAAATCATAGCTAGCGGCGTTTAGTTATAGTTTTCCCGCTTTAGTGGGGGGTTTTTCCTTTTGTTTCTCATTTTTTGTTTGAGGTTGGGGTTTATCTCTTGTTTTTTTTTTTCTTTACACGCAAAATAAATTCAGTCTTTGGTTCTATCACAACATTTGTTTACACGTTTCGGCCCGTTCTTTGAGTGTGTTTGTTCTTTCATTTTTCATTTTTGTTTGTTGTTTTGCTGTTCTGTTCTGCTTTTCGGCTGTTCTGCGTGAAATGTTGGAAAACGAAACTCGTAACGCAACGCAACGGAACGGAACGGAAAAGTGAAGCCGAACGAATTTTGAATTTCAGTTTAAAACTAAAATCAAAATTTTACTAACTTTGTTTTTGTTTTGTTTTTCTTTTTTGTCTATGTCTATGTTTCTCTCCTGGTTATATATTAATATATATATTTTCGATGTATATATACTATATATCTTGTGTTTCGCTAGCTGCTTAGGACACGCCCAAGTCGTGCAGCAAATGTTGTGTGATCACCTCGCCCTGCTCCTCCATCAGCTGCGCCGTCACAGTGTTGATCAGGTTGAAGGCAATCGCGAAGACGGTGAAGGCACAGTAAACACCCAGTGCCAGCCACCAAATCAACTGCTCGTACTCCCGATGCCCGAAGTTCTTGAGCACCAGAAAGCCAATGGTCAGGCCAGCCAGGGCGCCGGTCAGATGCGCTATATACGAGACCTGGGGACCCTTGGCGAAGGCGGGCGTGGCAGCGCCATCAAAATATTGCGTATACAAAGCATAGCCCAGATCACAAGAGACTGCAGAGAGAGAAAGAGAGCAAGGGGTATTCTTCAGTTAGTAAAAGTTTCTCAAGAGAGGGAGAGAGAGAGAGGCAGAGAGAGATAGAGATAGAGAGTCGTTTGCTACTCACCAAAGATGACCACGGAGCCCAGCTGCGTGGATGCGGACTTCATGTGCGCATAGTTGAGCGTGATGTTGGCCAAATGTGCTGCCAGCAAGGCATAGACACCGCCGCTGGCGCCCACCAGGAACACCTCGGAGTCGACGACGCTGGTGCCCAGCGAGCCGGCGAAGACGCCGGCCAAGTAGATGACGCCGATGCGGGCCGTGCCGTGCATCACCTCCAGGGGCACTCCGAAGAATAGTTGGATGATGATGTTGAAGCCCAAGTGGAACCAGTTCGCGTGCAGGAACATGTAGCTGAAGAACCGCCAGACTTCGAGGCGGCGATCGGGTCGATAGACGAGCACCGAGTCGCTCGGTATGGGCACCGGCTGGCCGAAGCTCTGGGCGGGCATTGTGTAGCGGTCATAGGCGAAGATTGCAATCTGCAAAAAGGCACCAAAAATAGAAGAGCGAATTAGTTGAGTTGGAGTTGGAGTTGAGTTGGAGTTGGAATTCGAATTGGAATTGGGGTTGCTTTGATTTATGTTGTTGTTGTTTTTGCTGCTGCTGTCGCAGCACGCGACGTCAAACTTCGCCTTGTGTCCCACATAGACACACGAACACACTCACACGCACACAGCCATAGCAAAGCCTAAATAGAAGAGAAGAGAAGTGCTGCCAAGTCCTGCCAACTTTATTTTGGCTTGCGCTGTAATATGAGCGCGCGCTCGCTCTAACACGCTGTCTCGACAGCAGCCTAGCTCGCTCGCACTTGCTGTGTCTGTTTCTTCGTTTAGTTTTTATGATTGTTCCGTTTGGCTGTTGCTGTGGTTGTTGTTGTTGTAGCTTGTTTACAATCGATTTTGGGGGCGCCAGGCAGGCAGCCAGAGACGTGTCTGTGTGTGAGTGTGTGCGCGCTGTGTGTGTGTGTGTGTAAGAATGCGCAAAAGAAAGCAGCAAAATTTTATCGCTTTTAGTTAGAAGTTGAGAATTTGTAAAGTTCTTCAGCGAATTTTTATTGCATTTTGCGGTTCTTTGATTCAATAATAATAATAAATTATCAACTAAGGCAACAACAACAAGAACTATGACCATTATCTGTGAGAGGGTTTCAGACACTTCAGAAACGAGTGGACAAACGGAAATGAAATCCTAGAGCTGGAACTGTGAACTAGTAGTAGTTCCAACTGTGTGTCAATTCAATAAGGAAATGGAAACGTTTCCAGCACATCGTGGAATGGAACACTGAGTGGAATGTTGCAATCCCTCTCTCAGTTTCCCTTTCTCCCTCCCTCCACCAATGTCTTCTACTCACCTCAATGACGGAGATCATCAGAATGAACCACGGCCAATGTTTGCGATGCTCGAATTTGAGCATCATCAGTTCATCCGTTTCCATCGGTGGCATGTTGCATGTTGTAGCTGTGTTAGCTGCTGCTGCTGCTGTTGTGGATGCTGCCGCCGCTGCTGCTGATGTGCATGTTGCTGTTGTTGCTGGCAGCTTGTGCTGCATGTAAATGTGCTCGCCCTGGCGGGTGCAGCAAGTGCTGCTCGCCGTGCTGCAGTCCGTGTCGTAGGAGGAGCAGGCAAAGGAACTGTGCGAGGAGGCAAAGGAGACGGCTGCTGGAATGTCAATGATGGTCGCCGCTGTTGCCGTTGTCGCCGTCGCTGTTTGTGGCGCCTCCAGCTGCTGCTGCTGTTGCCCACCCTCTTCCTCCTCATCCAGCTGCAGCTTCGTGTGGCTTTCTGTGCTGTTTGTTGTGGCTTCCATTTTTTATTTACTTTTTTCCCTCTCTGTTTTATGCGCTTTACAAAAGTCTTTTCTCTGCTTGTTTTTCTTGTTCTTCTGAAAGAAATGAACGGGAATAAAAGTTTATAATTAATTAAGTGTAGCGGACAATAAACAAAAAAATCAATTAAGTACATAAATTATTCATAAAACAGAAGCCGAAGTAAATAAATTTACAGCCAGGCAACGACAGCATCATTCGCTGTAAAGCAGGATTACAGATAGGGTCGCTTGACTGGGAATTCTATTTTCTATTCCAAATTGATAAAATTGTAGCCCTAAATTTTATTTGTTAGATATTTGTATATATGTATATGTATAAATTTAAATTTCACTTTCTATTCTTGCTTTTCAAACCGATATGCCTTTATCAAGGTGATTTACAGAGCATCGGGAACAACAACAATTACACAACTTGAAAATTTCTTTCTGCCAGCGAATTGTTTATTGTCGAGAACTTGGAAACTTGCATTCCTAGACTCCCCATTCGTAGACCCCCCTCCGCCGTCTCCCGTCTCCTGCTCGGCCGTCTGCTTCCGCTTGCAGCTACCTCTCCCGCCCCGCCCCCGCTTCGAGTGTCTGTATGTTTGTTTGGATGTGGGTCAGCAGTAACATCTCCGGCCTCGGAGGCCCATAAAATTTGATGGTCTTGCTCTTGCCTGGCGCGCGTCGTCCTCCCACGCCTCCGCCGTTAAGGGCGGGTTGGCAACTAAAATTAGCCAAAGGCGCGCACGTCGAGAAACTAGTTGAAGGCGACGTCACTCTCCACTCTCCACACTCCACTCCACAAATGGAACTTCACTTGGGGGCTTGAGTGTGTGGCACACTAAAAGGGAGTTCGGTGTTGAAATTGCTGCTTAGAACTAAACTATTTCTACTTACAGTGAGCACTCGCGTAATGAACACTAAGTAAGCAAAGCAAAAGCCTATCAACTCTTTATAAGTATCTTAGTTGCCCGTTCGCTCCAGCGAGATTCCACTGTAAACTGCTTATATAATTCCAACTTAAATGCCTTAAAGTGTGTTGCATTTAAGACATAACCAAATGGCTTTTAATATTTGGTTGCAACAACAATAACGACAATGGGAAGGCCATCTGGCTAATGGGCCAGCCAATCAGCTAATAAAACGAAATTGTTGTCAATTTTTTGGTTAAAACAAATTATGTTAATCGCATTCGTTTCAATTACGAACAAACGCTAATGACATTTTTGTGGGTTGCACAAAAGGCAGAAGAAAAAGAGGAAATTAGAAATCAAAACAAATTGAAAATGAAAATGAAATAGAAATTAAATGAATCTTGCTTTATTCACATTTGCACGCCTAAATTGACTTATATTCTGCATTGTTGTTGTTTCATTTTTATAAGTCGCTCAACAATAGGCGAAAAAAACAAACTTTTAAATTTAACGGTTGCACAATACACACACTCACACACACACATATACTAAAGCTGCGCTCACTTCCTCTCGCACCCACACAGGCACACATAAACCTTGGTTTGTCTTGAAGTTGCGCTCGCTCACTCGCATATTTTAGTAGTTATTGCAATTATGCTTGTGTGTGTGTGAGTGTGTGGGAGCGAATCGAAGCTCGCAGCGCACTTCTAACTGTGCATGTTTGTTGTTGTCTTGCTTGGTTGCCTAGCAGCCAGCGGGGGCCGTTATTTGTTGTTTGCCTTTCTGTGTCTCTCTGTGTGTATATGTATATGTGTGTGGCATTTCAATATGGCACAAAATCGCAGCCGCTGCTTATTAATAAGTTAATTAATTAATTTTATTTCTTTTTTTGTGTTGATTTTTGCGCAAGTTGCACCAAATAAGCAAACAGCATGAAAAATTCGCAATTGTGGCTGCTGCTGCCGCTGCCGCTTCTGCTGCTCGCGTGTTGCACGTTTGCCAATTAACAGCAGACAGCAGACATGAGACAAGTTGCGTATGAAATGAAATTAACGCAAACTCGACGCTGGTCAAACGCCAATTGCCGCCGTTGCCGTCGCATTGTTTCACATGACCCTTTCGCTCGCTGGCTCTCTCGCTTGCCATGTTTGCATTTTTTTTGCTACACTTGCACCTTGCTGCCACCCCTAAGCAACAACAACAGCAGCAGAAACAAAAAAAAAAATAAAAAATGAAACGCGACTTGCAACAACTGTTGAGTTGAACAAACTCATTACGCGTTGTTGCACGCTGCACTTATTTCTGTTTTTTTATGCCTGTCTCTGTCACACTCACATAGTCTTTCTCCCCCTTTTTTTCTTGTCTGCGACAATTTCTATTGCAATTTTTGTCATTAAGGTCAAACTTGGCTGTCTTCTTCTTACCTTTATTTAGTGTATTTGCTATATATTTTTCATAAATGTTTGTATATTTCTTTTTATTTATTTTTTTTTGTATCGCTTGTTTATCCAAAATGCGTCAGAAGGGGGCGCGCCTTTAATCCAATTGCTGCTTCAGTTAGTTCGAGTATTTTTGTTGTTGTTGAAGTTGTTCACTTTGTTTTTGTTGCTGCTTGAAAATTTTGAACTTTGTTTTAATGCTCATAAAATTCATTTTGAGCGCAGAGCGAAATATTTATTATTGCTTTTCTTTTCTTTCGCACTCAACACACACTTTATGTATTTCATTTGATTTTTCTATCTCGAATTTTTATATGTTGTTTATCGTTCCGTTAGCCGTTAACTGAATTCGAGTCTCACGCAATTCAATTGAATCTTTATTATTCCTTATTCTCTTTACGATGCTCTCGCATTCGCGTCTCGCACGCAACTAAAGCAGCTCCAAGCAAGTTCGTTCTTTAAATAGCTGGCCGCGCAACTTCTCGCATGCGGCTCTATGCACTTGGGGGTGGGTTGCCATCGAACAAGCAGGTGAGCCCAGAGAGCAAGAGAGAGAGTGGCACAACACGTCGAACCAAGCCGGCTGCAACTTGCAACCGCTGCATTTGCTTCGAAACTGCAAAAGGTCTTTGCTTCTATACATACATGCATTTGAATTTGATAATTTTCTTATACTTGCCCAAAGCTGACCTGGTAAAGAGAAAGAGAGAGAGAGAGAGAGAGGGAGACTGAGAGAGCGATCGATTCGAAGTCGCTTCAAACATGTTGCGTGTTGTGTTTTCGTTTTTCTGTCCCGTTGCGAGCGTATAAGAGTATAAGAGTAGCCACATTCTTGCCGTCTGCAACATGCATGGCCAGCAAATCCGGTCTTTTAAACTTGAATTTCGTGTGTAATACAACAAACGTCCGTCTTAGTCGCATTCCATTGATACCATTCATCCAATGCAAACGTATACAAAATGCAGCGTTTACCTGAGCAACTCCGTTGCGCTGTTGCTGTTGCCTGGTTATGCGTAATGTGCGCTTAGTTAATCGGCTGGCACTCTGTTGAGCAACGCATAACGGTATGATTCATAGCTGTTTTTTGCCACCGTCATTGACTTGATCAGTCGGCCAGTCAGTCAGCTGCAAAGCTCGCTTTGTGATGAAATCTTATGAGTCGTTCAATGTTCTAGGCAGGCATTGCCAACAAATGACCTTCAGCTTTACTGTCTTTGTTTTAAGGGAGGAGATATGCGTATGTAGGTGCATGGGTGCATAGGTATTGACTGTTGTGGGATTTCGGACTCGTAGATAATATATTCAACCAATTTGCAATAGAAAGTATGCATATAAATTGTAAATTCCTTCCCTCTATATCTGTATCTATCTATGTCTATGCGATCAAATCGAGAAGGTATTTAATTTCACACCTTCGCTAAAGAGGAAGGTTTACTTAGATAGATACGAATCGGTAGCAAAAATAAATATTTATACAAATTATTAGAGGTAGCGGATGCCTTAGGCCTTTGATCCGTAGGCAGTTTAAGCCTTCGCCAGAAAATGCCACAAAATGTTGCACAAAAGGAGTAGCAGAGTAGCTGACTAGCTGAGTAGCTCAATGCAGCTACGTTGCAGGATCAGAGGAACGTGCGGTACGTGTTTTGCATGATAAGCCGGGAATTTACACAGATGCTCAACAGATAAGACAACACACATACACACACACACACACACACATACAGACACACAAATTGAACTGTGTTCTGCTCTCGCAGTGCATGAAAAGTGAAAACGCGTTTTCCAAAACATTCACCAAGTGAGTTTTTCACACACCAAATCACCCACAACTCTTCTCGACTGAGATTTATGATGACTTTTTAACATGTGCAACAGGTAAGCCCGCACACACATACACGGAGCGAGTGCAGTGCGTATGTGTCTCTGTGTGTGTGGGAGAGAGAGAGAGAGAGATTGACCATGACCATGACCAAGCACGTCATCGTAAATCCTTTTTTCCCACGTTCTCTCAAAAATCTGGGAGGCACGTCCCGGTCACCTTTTGGCCTCCACACTTCAGGTGAGGCAAGTCGCAAGTTGCAGTCACAGGTACTCATAATTGCCGCCTTGCTGGGTGTGTGGGCGTGTAGGCGTGGCATGGCGAGCTGCTCTCGGGGAATTCCTTGTCGTCTCGTTTTTCCCACTGCCGCAGCAGCAACATGTGCGTGCCACATGTGCGATTCAGGAATTTCCGCACAGGAAGATTGCTGCAGGTTCTGCGATGTGCGATGTGCGATGTCCTTGCTCCTTCCGTTGCATTGCGGATTTTCATTTGAATTGCTCAACGCGTTTTCGCGACTTCGACTTTTGTATTGCACTTGTCCGAAAGTTCCCACAAACTATGTGAGTCCTTGTATCTGTGTGTGTATACGTGTGTGAGTGTGGTTTTCCCGCATTTGAAGTCATGTGTCCTGCATGAGGATAACTAGTCTATAGCGCTGCCATGCAGAGGCGCGACTCCTGAGCCAGTTCCCAGAATGTGACGCAGATGCAGGCGACTTGCCAGCCTTAATGATTCCATTTGGCATCAGCAATGCGGAGCTTTAAACTGAAACCCTGATTATATAGCTGCAGCGATTATTATAGCTCTGTTAGGAGCCTATAAATGGAATGCAGGAATAATAGATTTCGTAGCAGTATCTGGACCCATATGCAGGATGCAATCAATATAATTATAGCTGTTTCAGTGTTAGAACTCGACTCAGATTTATATATGTATGTACTTCCCTTCTTTTCTTGCTCTTACCTTTTAATATGTTGTGGTTCTAGTTGTTCTTGGATCACATCCTTCAGCTAGGTGCATATCCTTGTTGATCTTGGAGTGTTTATGCAGCTAAGATATTTTCAAACTGAAGCTGAAAGCCAATTGATTCCTTTCAGTTGAGCTGTGTTTATTCCGGCTCGCAGCCAATTTCAAATTTGCCTTTCGATTTGCTGTCATTTGTGATCCTTGCTCCCATTTATGCTCTGCTGCTGACTTAGCCAAAGTCCTTGAATCAACAGAGTGAAACAAAAGGCGTTTGCTGTTTGCTTAAGGCTGGCGTCGAATGTCCTGGGAAAACTGCGCCACTGAATGCTTGGCATACGAATGTCCTGCTTAACTGACTGGCCCTGCGTGTGCATGTCCTGTATGTCCTGTGTGTCCTGCGTATCCGGGTGTCCAGTTGAGCTCGCTCTGGGATTAGGCTGCGCTCAATAATTCCAACAATTACTATTTGAATGCAATGTTTATGTTCAATTATGAATGGATACCGAGGCAGACCATTGCAGGAGCAGGCCTCGCCAGGACTCGTCTGCTCGTTGCAGCTCGTTGATTGACATTTTTATTATGCATATTCAACTCGAATGGCTTGCCTTCTTGCCTTCCTCTCACGCAGACCTTCGCTTTGACAATAACAATAAATTTCCAATTTGTCTTTGGCTTTGCCCATAATGTCCTTTACAAAGGACCTAAATCCAATAGATAAATTTAAGCACTCTTCGTCCGCAGCAGCAGCAGACGATGAGAATCCTATTCAGGAATAGTTGTGTTGCGGACAGTCTCATTACTCGGCCATTATAGTGCCTCTTCTTCTTCTTCCCCTGCTATATACATATATATCTATATCGATATCTCAATCAATTTTTTCAATTCCATTTACAATTGGCCAGCGCGCGTCTGGCTTCTGCAGCTGGCAAATGACAAATTTGCATTTTTTCAGCATTTCCACCCGTTTTCCAGCGAGGGAAACGCTTTCAAATGTAAATTTGCTTTGCTGCAGTTTTGTGCATCGAATTAGTTTCAACCGCTTTCAATTTTGTTGGCTGCCTCAGCACATTTTCTCCTGCTAAACAATTCAGGTTCGTCCAGTGCTTTTCCTTTTTTGTTTTCTTTTGTTTTTGACAATATATTTGAAACAAAGTTTGGCCAGAAATTTACTTGTAATTAAGAAATTATTTCAGCTCCAATGCGAATCGGAGCAGCAGCTCGTTCATGTGCAAGTCCAAGTGAGTTTGTTGAGCAAAATAAGTCAAGCAATGTAAATAAAGATTAGGAGCTTGGCAAAGTGCCTGACTTACTTTCCAAGTGAATTGTGAAATGTTTAGCCCTGCGTACATATCTATTCATATGCATATGTATGTGATTAAAAGTGAACAAGTCAAAGTATTTGAAGGAATGTGTAAAGCTTGTGAAAAGAGAGTGTGGGAGAGAGAGAGAGAGAGAGAGAGAGAGAGAGAGAGAGAGAGAGAGAGAGTAGGGGGCCTTAGTAGGCACCAGGCTTCTATTATAATCAATCTACTTTACTTTTATAGCATTCGTATGTCCAGTCAAGAAGTATGCCACTCCTCACGTCTCTAGCCAGGTCGTCTTTTAATTCCTTCCCCAAATACCACATAGATTAAGTCGAACATGTGAAACCTCTTAATTTAGCTGGTGCTCGTGTGTGCCCTCGCTTGGGGGACCCGTCCCGCCCGCAGCTCTATAAAATTGATTGAAACAACTTTAGTTGGCTTTGTTAGCTCTGCCCCTTGGCCCGTGCTCCACTTGCAGCGACAATGTTGTTGGCAGTCGCAAAAAACATATTAAAAACGCGTTCGCTCGGGCAACCCAGTTATGATGAGCTGCACAGTCGACCCGGGAGGGCAGTGTCGAGAGGGGGAGGGGAGTGACTGGTTGCACTGGTTGGCAGAAGATGCTAGTAGGAGGGTTGGGGTGGGGAGCAGGGCTATGGGGCTTCGGCACTCGTTGCGCTAATCAGTTAAGGGGCACTTGTCCACTTTGGGATGCTTTGGTTTTAATTACGCGGCGAAAAGTTGGAATCGTGCTCTGCGCTGCAATGCGCTGCTCTCTGGTCAGCAAGCACTCAAAGTGGACCGCAGCTGGGCGAGGTTCGTTCGACGCCACCGCCACCTCCATCACTTGGTTGGTTAAAGTGCTGCCAACACATTAAAACTGCAATTCATGCGCTGCTGCGGCCACACATGGCTGCCGCTGGGGGGGATTAGGGAGCTGTGGAAGACATGAAGCTCAGCAGGAGTTGGCGCACTAATGAACATTTTATTGCAAAAGTTCTGATTCAACTGTGTGGAGGAGAGTTTTGAAAACTTTTGGTTCATTCTCTCTCTCTCTCTCTCTCTCTCTCTCCATATTCTCACTCTCTTTCTATTTCTCTCTTTGGCGTTTTATTGCAGTTCAGCTTTGACTGCACTTGCTACAAACGGAAGCTGTCTGGGCCAATTTGAAATATTGTTATGCCAAGTGAGCGTCCATAACTCAAACTGCCCACCCCAAAAGAGAAAGACTTACGTACTCCTTAAGCCAAATCCGTGACTGGCTGCACTTGTGTGACTTCCTCTTTGGTTGACCCCAGCCCTTGGTTGGCTAAATATCACCTTCTACCCCTTCACTTTTTGCGGAGCAGACAACTG